AACAATTATTTAATATAATAACTTTATTTTTTTTTATATATGCACTTTAATTTACAATATACATCATAAAATTATCTGTTTATTGATTGATGCAGTAATTCTAATTTTTGAATCAAAATTTTAAAAGATTTAAGAAATGAACGTAAAACAATAAAAAAAAAACAGTCTTTATATATGTTATTGTTGCGCTCATCGCAGAGCGGCACTTGCGCGCGAGTCGAAATCGGCACTCCCGGACGCGCGCGGGGGAAATAAATATAACACACTCTTTTAAAAAAAGGAATGAAACGTTTATTGCTAATTAAATCGTCTTTTTATGTCGCAAGCGGTATTTTATAATGTACACGTCGAAAGCCGCGACAGAACGACGACACCACGTTGCCCCCGGCAACTGTCTTCTTCTTTCTTCACTTCGCGCGATACTTCGCGCGGTTGCTCGATTCAAGCCACAATTAGAAGATACAGAGGCAGGAGCGCAACACTATGTTAAAATAAGTCTTTTATTTTTTAATGCAATTTTTCTTTTATTTTTCATCAATTATAGATTTTGTTAATTATAGATGTTATAGCAAATATTATTTTTTCTAAGGAGTGAAAAATTTATCTATAGCTAGAACTATAAGATAATTAATTGAAAGAGTCTTTTTATTGCTTTAAAGAATGACGATTGATTAGCGACAACGGTTTTGCGGAACGCCGTAAATTTCAAAGGCATTCTTAAAGTATTGTGGCATTTCCGTGTCATTCTCACGTAATCTGAAAGAAAATATACGGAAAACTTTCATTCTATATATCCTACGAACCTGATATCTTTTTTTACCTTCACTTTTCTCAAATTCCAAAAGCGCCAAAATCGAGAATTGTTAATTGTTTTTCTGATGAGCAAGTGCTATCTATCACTTGTGTCGATGTGTCTTGCAAGGAATCAACGAGGCAAGAATGAAGTCTGAAAGAAACAATGGCTATCTATCTTCAACCGTTGTCAACGAATCGGCTGATTTATCGGAATCGACAAGTCAAGATGGTACACCTACTACGAATTCTCTTCAAGTATGTAAATTATCTCGATAATTAAGATGTTCTTAATAACGTTTGAATTTTGCTTATTTTTTAAGTATTATCAATATTTCTCAACATTACGTCCTCAACCATCTTTATTCCTATTACGTTACTTCAAAATTAAAATAGTTTTGTGTGATAACACAAATATACACAAAATATAAACTGCTATACATGTATAGAGTGAATACTAAGTAATAAAAGATTTTAAGGAGTAATTCCTCGCATTTAAGATGAAAATTTTATATGATCACATATGTTCGAAACGAGTTTAAGTTTAAAGAATACAGGTGTCAAGGTTGAAGAAAAAATTTCGTCTTTTTCCAGGGTTGTGCATCTACGTAAAATATAATACTCTACGTTTACGTGTAGACAATATAAACTATTGTATAAGTGTCATCTATGTTGACAGTTAGTAGACTATATGTATATTTATTCATTTAATAAATATATATAAATTAACGTTTATATAAAAAAACTACCATTTAAGTAAGAAAAATTCTCTGGTTACATTCTTAATCTTAATCTCATAGTTAAATTAATATTCAAAATACGAGTACATCAAGAATATCCTAAAGATGTCGTGGTATCTTTAGTCTGTTTCTAAATACGTTTTGGATATTTCTACTGTAGGTAGAGACTGCTTTATAATTTAATTCTTTTATATTGTATATATTAATTTTTAAAACATATATTACTGGAAGGAAAATTGAGTGCTGAACGTGAAGCCAACATCTGTGCAAGAGAAAGATATAGGTTCTCAATTGACTGTAATATACATGTGTCATTCAGCCTCCACTTAGCACGTTTTGCCTAATTTCTTATTTTTTGAAATTCTTTAAAAAAAAAAAGAAAAACAGAGCTAAGTGGGAGCTGAATGGCATATGCGCATTACAGTTAATTGGAAACTCTTTCTCTCTCGCAGATGACATCTTAGCTTTAGCTCGATACACGGACGGTATAAACAATTCTCTTTCCAGTAGTATTGTTCTAAGATATTAGTGATACAATTTACAATAGTCTACATAGTTTACAAGTCTAAATTGTCTACACAGCAAAAAGACTATGTAAACATTATGTAGATTTCACGTAAATAATCCGTGTAGACTGTAGACGTAATCTTGAAATCTACGGCACAACCCTGTTCTTTTCCAAAAAATTTTGAAAATTGAGTTAATTGATGAAGTTTTGTGAATGTTTAAAGATTTATAATAAAACTTAAAAATAATGAAAATTTTTTTCTTCAACCGTCGAAAGAAAAATGTTTTTCTAAAAACTTCAAAAACCACTTGAGTTATTTTGATGAAATTTAAGATATTCATAAAGCTTTATCAAAATAATCTTAGTGGTTTTTGAAATTTTTGAAAACATGGTCATATGAAGTTTTTGTTTTGAATTTATGTGAGAATAACCCCTTAAAATCTCTTACATTATTTAATATCCACTCTGTACATAATATTATTAAAAAACATTTCACTAAAATATAGTAGATAACGATCATATATTTTCATCTTAATGATATTGTTATGTATTACCGTTATATCTGTGTAGCGCGCACGATATTTCGTATATTGAGGTGCGCTGCGATAGCACATATGATTGCGGGGCGAACGTTGATTGGTTGCTCCGAAAGTCTGCGCGAAGGGGAGCAACCTAGGC